AATCAAAAAGAGAAAATCAAAAAAAAGAAAAAATAGAATCAAATGTTGTGTTGCTAAAAATGTTTGCAATTTAACTACATCCATATAAAAAAGATATTATTAATTTTTTATGCCATTTCTTTGTTTCATGATCCAATTCACGATGCCACCAATTATAGTAGGGCCCAAGATTTTTACAAACTGGCCTAAATCTATTTTTATAGTAAAGAACAAACTTCTGATTTCTTCGTATAAAGATATGACCGATAATTGCTTGATAACGTAAAAAATAATTCCTACTAAAAAGACAAGGCCAAAGATGATAATAATACATTCAAGTTCCACGAAGAGGAGTTGATATTTACGTTGGTAATGCAATTTGAAATATGCTGAGTCCCAGTTATATCTTGACTAGAAGCTGAGTTTTGAAGATCGGGAATATTAGTAACATGATTGGAAATTAGGTTATTGTTAATCTGAGAAACGAATATACTTGTGGTTTGATTAGTAAAATTGCTTCTCATGCAAGAGTCACAAATATTAATTTGATATTTGCTCGACGATCCAGTGATGTGATTAGAAAAATTGCCCTTCATGCAAGAATCACAAATATTGATTTGATGTTTGCTCAATGATTCTTGAGGAGGCTGAGGTGTATTAGTAAAAATATTATTATTGTTCTGAGGATTCTGAGGAACCGAAGGCTGCCATGTATTTTGAGAATTGGTAATAATAGTATCATTGGTTTGGGGAACTGAAAGCAGAGGTGTATTTTGCGAATTGGCAATAGTATTATTGTTCTGGGGAATCGAAGATTGACGTGTATTTTGAGTATTGGTAAAAATAGAAGGAATATTTGATATGTTTTGAAACATCGTAATTAGTCGTTGATTTTGGGAAAAAATCTGCTGTAAGATTTCATTTTGTATGTTGTTTTGGCGAACAATTTGTCGAGAGTTTTGATCATTGGATTGCGTAGATTGGACATGTTGAGGAATCATATGGTGAACAATTTGTCGAGAGTTTTGATTATTTAAATTGGATTGCGTAGGCTTGAAATGTAAAGAATTCATATCATCAATTTCCTCGATTTGAGGATTTCTGTCTCTTTCTACTGAAACATGTAGATAGTAATCACTTTGATCCCTC